CCCCCCCACCCCCCCACCCCCCCCCCCCCCCACACACACACACACACACACACACACACACACACACACACGCACTTTCCCCTTCTGGTGCTTTAGAATTTTCTTGTCCTTTGCTCGACTGTCACCCACTTTGAGAAAAGATGCAGCATCACCACCCCCAGCGACCCTCCTGTCAGTCGTGTTGGAGATTTCCTGGCAGCCAGGCACCGCGCAGATCTTTTGCAGGTTCTCTGTTCACCAGAGGAGAGGCAGAGGGTGGAGCAGGATCACAGCCTGGACCACTGGGACGTAATCGCAGCCTCAGGGCTGGGTCAGGCCACGCCTGATGCATTAAACCATACCCGCGCTGGACAGCAGAATCGGGGTTATGTGAGTTAAGTCTTCCTGGGCTGGTACCCCTTCGCCTCCAAATCCCTTGCCTGCATTCTCCACTTATGGACTAAGCAGGGTGCATGCGCAGGACAGCCTCTGCAGAGAGAAGGACACCTACACCGAGGACCACAGGAGTGGAAATTGGAGAACCCCAGAAGAATGAAACACGAGAAAACAAAACAAAACAAAATTTAAAAATACAAAACTTCAGCAAATCTAGGAACTTTTCCCCTTTCATTCTGACAGAGGAAGAAAAAAATAATACTTGTATTTTCCTGAACGTTCATAGGCATGCTTCATAGTTAGGTTTTCCCCTTTGTCTTATTTCTAAGAGTCATGAACTGAAATTTCTGTTTGTTGTGGTTTTATTGAAGCCCAGTTAAAACTTTACACTTAAGTCTGACAGGACTAGTAAATGTAAGTTCATCAGAAATCTAACTATAGAAGCCTGCACTGTGACCTGGCTCAGCTTTCGTTTGAAACTTTAGCGATATTTAATTTTAATTTGTTTTACATCTCTTGTTTCTAAGCACAAGGTTTTACAGTGTGATCGTGCAAAGAATGAGTATTTTTTAAATATAGATAAAAATGGGTTCTAAATAATTCTGCGATTCAGATGGAGAAATGCCCTGAACTTTAAAATTTACAAAACTTATTTTTTTTAAAATCGAAACAAAAGGAATTGTCATTCTGCATGTTACATTAAAACAAGATGTTGTAAAGTTTAGTACATATTCGGATAAAATCATAGAAATGAACCTTTGCTACTGCCAAAGGACACCTTGAAAATAGATACTTTATGTCCCCCTTCTTCCAAAGGGCACTGACAGGGCTTAAAGAGAAAAAAAAGAAAGGCATAGCATAGTAGCAGGGATAACGTGCCTGCTTAAGCATAAATCTGAGGAGACCGCATTAGCTTTGCTTTTTTGTAAAACCCATTTTCACTACAGCTGTGTCAGTGACCCAAAATCTGCGGTCCATTCTACTGACCTATAAGTTTTACATGGGGAGGGGAAAGTGTAAATTTATGTGCTTTGTTAAAAAAAAAAAAAAAAGTTAGTGTTAGTGGCCAAGAGCACTGAAGGGAAGAATATGCAATCCCATGGCTCCAGGCTGGGTTGCCTCTGATGCCTTTGTTATAGGGTCAGATTCTTACAGGGAACTGTGGCCTTGCTCACAAAGGAAACCATTTACTTTAAGCAGGGTGTGAGAAGGGCTCTTTTCACTAAAGGAACCACAACCTTTAGAAAAACTCTGTACCCATTCTCCTCCCCAACAACTTCTGAGTCTATATAAATTTAGCCAAAGTTAAATTAAAAACTGTAAGACATGAGAGGGGACAAAAAATCCAAAGTATGGGGACACCGCCCTCTTCCCAAGAGAAGGCCTCTCAAACCAAGTGAGTGAGAAAGTGCTAATGTGATTTGTAGTCCAAGGTGCAAGTCGAGGCATTTGATGGGTTTCTAAATTGTACAAACTTTGTGCTGATTATACAAACTTCAGAAATAAACAGTTGACAGTGGGATGGTAGATGCTTGTTTCAAATGAAGAAGTCAAGGAGTGGGGCTGGAGAGATCGCTCAGCAGTTAAAAGCATTGGCTGCTTTGCTGAGGACTTGGGGTCATGGTAGCTGAAGACAGTCTGTAACTCCAGTTTCAAGGGACATTTTTATATCCTCTGCAGACATTGCATGCATGCACATGTTCACAAACATGCATGTTGACAAAACACTCATATAATTAAGAATAATTTTTTAATGGTGATGGGTGATTCAATAGCTATCAAGGCTGTCATTGGGAAGTCAGTTCAAAACACACACACACACACACACACACACACACACACACACACAGAGCACTCATTAGCACTGACTGACTAATCTTCCTCTGAAATTCTGTGCAGCTGTTCTACCTTCTCTGTGTCTGGTATGAAATCACTTACACACTTGGCAGGGGAATAACAAGAACTTCTCATAAAGTCAAACAGGTCAGCCTGAAAAGGAGGGGGAGGAGTGGTTTGGATGGAACCCAGATGGAAGCTTCTGTGATTATGTGATGAGGATAAAAGCTGATTAGAAAAAGGCTATGGCAGACAATAGGATTGGAGCAGTGGATCTAAAGATATAGTAGGGTCAGAACTTGTTAATTTATTTCAATTCAATACACACACAAGAGAACTGAGTTAAGTGGTAGAGATTTTTCCAGCTTGGAAGTGTTGGAGTTTGTTACAAGAAAAAAACAAAGTAGAAAATTGGGTATGAGGTGGACAGTGTGAGTAATTTCCAAAGTACACTCGGAGAACATTGCCATGCTATGATAATGTACAAATCTTTGTTCTGAATGAATTTGATGAGACCCACAATGCATTCACATAGTTTAAAGGTTTGTTACAGGGGAGATTGAAGACAGAATTATTTGCATAAATACCTAGAGAGAGTTGATGTCCTGGGTGAAACTGCAATGGGGAAGGTGATGGAGTGGACATCATGAGACAATCACCATCAATGAGAACCTGAGGAGGCAGCCATGGGATACGCAAGCTTCAGAGTGAAGAGTTCACAACAGAAAAGTAACGAGAGATCCAGAAAAGGAGAGAGGTCCTAGAATGGAACAATGATAAATTAGCAAGGAAAAGATATTCAAGTATTTAATGCAGATTTGGATGGTGACAAAACAACCAACCACTTAGGTGAAAACAGTCCTGAAGGAAAGGTTTAAGAAAATGCAGGTGCAGGATTTTACAAGTTCTACACAGAACAAATGTTAGAGGCTGCTGGAAACATAGAGGTGTGTGAAAGTGCTACTCTGCCGTGTTTGTGTTTTTATATGTGCATAGTCACATGAGCTTGTATGTGTTTGGGTATGCTTGGTGTATGTTTCTTTGTGAAATGTATGTGTGTTTGTGCATACTTGTATTTTCATTTTTATATTGTTAATCTGCTTACTTGAGTGTATATTAGAGGGTTGTGACTATAATTTTGTGTGTGCACATGTTTGCTTTATGACTTGTGTGAGCATTTATGTAAATGAATTTCTGTATATGTGAAAACTTGTTCTGTGTGCAAAATGCTGATGTGTTTGTGAATGAGTATACACCATTATGGGATTCCTTGAAAAGATGTCTGTGTGTTTGTATATGTTTGGGTGTACAAAGTGCAATGATTCCACAGTTACCTTAGTTCTTAAGTTTTAAGTACATATCAAAGTGAGAACCTGTAAATGCAACTTTCTGTGATCTTAAGTATATGTTTTATATTAAATACACATGTGAATGGTGTACGTTTGTGTGAGGTGTATTAGTATGTGAATACATACATGAGACCTGTGTATTAAATGTACCTCTTAAAGTGAATACGTGACTGCTTGTGTTTGTGTGATTACTCTGCTTGTGTGTGTTATTTCTCTATGTACTGGTGAATTTATGGTGAATATGGACTTTTGTGGCTGCTATAAAAATGTGCATTTTGTTCTCCCCAGATAGTTTCTCATACTCTAATAGGAATTACAATGTTATATTTTCACACAATTGTCCATTGTGTAATGATCAACTCGGGACATTGAGACTAGTGATGAGAACATTCAAATTTTGTTTTCTGTTTATTTTAAACATTTTACTGCTAAATATGTTAACTTTTCTGTGAGATAAAGACCAGAGCTCATTCTCCTCTGCCACTGCCTGCATGATCATTAACTATTTTCCCTATTCACCAAACTTCTCTTAAGCTCCCTGATCTCTGGTCAGTGCTATTCAGCATTCACTTCTATAAGCTCAGCTTTTTGAAATTCCACAGGAGTGAAATCATTCAGTTCCTGCTATCTTGTGTGTCATTTTTTTTAAAGTAAGTTTGGTTTCCAAGTCTAGATGTATTGCAGCAAATAGTAGCATTTTAATCTTTTTCACAAATGGATTGTGTAATTATTCATGCATAAAATAGTGAAACTAAGAAAGAAATTAAAGATCACATACAGGAAAGAGATGTAGGAGAGTGGTGTGACAACATACAAAATGCAGGAAAACAAGCACAAGCTACATCTTTAACAAGAATTTAGACTCCCAAATATGTATCAAATTCAATCATCCAAAAATTCCTATACAAACTTAGAGTGGGCCATTGCTTTTTGTGCTATATACATATGTTGTATATTCATGCTCATGCAGAAATGTGTGCATGCAAAGGTAAAGGCCACAGGCAAATGCTGAGCATCTTCCCCAGGATTTCAGTTATCATTTCAGTAATTTTTAAATACTTTTCTTCAGGAAGCTCGAGCAAATATAGAATGAGTAGTCCAAAATACATATGCATGACTGCATTCAACTTTATAGTTCATAGTACCACATGTCTATACCAAAGCCCCAAGACCTATTCAGGAAATTGATGCCTGCACCTGCAGGAGCTGTCAGAAGTGCTGTCTTTTCCTGGTGATTGCAGCAGTGATTCACTGCTTGGTCTCACACTGAAGTCCAGCCTGGCCTTCACTTACAGTACTCCTGACTTGGTCCCCAGATGCTTCCATTATAGGCATCTGCTTTCCGTTAAGACATTTAAATAATGTTTCTTTTTGAAGTCCACTGAATTACATTTTGATTCTTCACAAAACAAAGGAGTCAAATGTATTAAAAAATCTGACACTTCCACTCTGCATTTTTTACATGCTTACACTATGTGATTTCTGTGTGCATTCACCTACACACGACAGTTGTGTATGTGTGTATGAAGGGTTTTATATCTGTAACATATGTTTTATATCTTCACATATGTGATTATTCTGTGGATGCTTTGAGAAACTTTTGCACATACATTCTTACTCTCTATGAACGACTTAATTCTATAAACATCCACATATGTTCCTGTTCACACAATATTCCCCATGCAGATTCTTTCGTGTTTGCTTCACTTTTAAATCTACAGTCCCAACATTCTACTGGGCTGCTGTAACCATTTTTAATCAGCTGTCAACTTACAACTTGGTCATTTCTAAAATGTTACTGTTCTGATTGAGGTTGTTGTTAACATTCTTTTATTTGAGTGATCCCATAGAGAGGAATACTCCTCCAGGTCACATTTATGCACCAGAAACACTGTTACAAGCAATATAAAATATTACCTATTTCCACAACCCTCATCAACATAGTATTTGCAAACACTTGGGTCTTAGACAAAATTTAAATTTTGTACAGTTGTAATAACTACCATGATTAAGGATGCTTGATTTTCCCAGGTTTACAAGGACTTGCATTTCATATTCTGTGCATGTGCTCTTCCTAATTTTGTTAATAAAAATAAATCATAATTTTAATTAATAAAAATAATTGTTTTTATTAATTTATTAATAAAATTAATGCATAATTTTATTTGTTTCTACTGAAGACCTAATAAATTATCGAAATAAGTTCTTGTATGATTTATCGTTTTGTGAACTTTTTTCATTCTACATTTATATGTATGGGTGTTTGGCCAGCATGTATGTCTATGCACCACATCCATGCCCATGCCCACAGAGGCCAGAAGGATGGTGTCAGATTCTTTGGAACTGGAATAACAGACAGTGTGAGCTGCCAGATGAGAACTAGGAATTGGATCAGGATCTTCTTGAAGACTAGCCAGAGCTCTTAACTTTGTAGCCATCTCTCCAACACCCCAACACATCTTTATTTTTAGACTATTATAAAGGAAGATTTCCTTCTGGTTTTGCTCATGTGATTTTTGAGTCTCACTTTAAGACAGTTATATCTGTAAGACAATGCAGTGACTGAGAAATCAAACTTGTAATTAATGGACTATCACTGACCCTGTGACTATAGCAATCTCAACCTCCCTAAGTCTCAGTTTTCACAGTGGCTGCAAATTATTGACTATAGAATTTACATGATAGGATGATTGGAAAAAAACAAATAAGATAATATGCCCTTAGGACAAACAGAAGCACATCATAAACTCCATGCAGTTTTTGTTTCTAAGTATTGATAAGTATTAACGTTTCTGTTCAAAATATGTTAGAAAGGTGTCATTGACTATTAGATCTTAAAAATGAGCCCCACATATTAATTTTCTAAGTGATTTTGTAGTTTACAGGATCTTTACTAAATAACACCAAGTTGTTTTAATGCTCTGGATCATAAACTTGATCTAACATATGTATCTATTTATGAGTTTGATAAATGTACACTCTTGCTAAGTACTGTGGTACATGTGTCTATCAACATACATACACACATACTACATCTTTTTAAAATACATGAATTTGAATGCCATACTTTGCCTCCCCATACTTGGGGATGCATGGCACTACGTCCTATTACATGCCAGGGTTTACTCACTGACACTCATTACCCCTTGTTCTCAAGCCATGGTTTTGTTTCATGTCCAGAGCAGCATCCCATGCTGTTTTCCATGCTGAGATAAAATCTTGCTATGTAGCATAGTCAGGCTTCAAACTCATGATCTTGATGCCTTTGCCTCCAGAATGATAGGATTGCAAGTATGTGCCACTAAGCATGGCTATCTTTTACTATTATAAACTGTTCAGACTTTACTAATTGTGATTGCCACAACACAGAATTCCCTAACTTTCTTCCTGTTTTTTTAAAGATTATAAATGGTCTATTTGAACTTCATTAGGCTATCATTAAATAGTTAATTTTAATACCAAATTTTCCTATCAAACTGAGTGGAATATAACTTCATGTCTTAAATATTCGTTAAGGCTTCTTGAAAAATGCTTCTTTTGTAGGATTTGTATATTAATATATTTTGTGGACCTTGCTACAATAAAAACAAATCTTTTGCTGTTTCTACTTTTTTCGTTATCATAGAAATCCTATAATAGTATTTGCATAATGCTTTACTTAGCTTTTTATGATTTTTCTAGATAATTCTGGATTTTGAACATATGATGTCTCACCCATTGAGGAGAAATCTGCATACTCTCTGGAAGATGTCACAACTGGGCTTGTTTCATTTTGTTCTTTTATGCATTTGTACAGTTTTACCCATCAAAATAATGCTTACTGACAACAGAAAGAACTGCTTTTTTCCTTATCAAAATCAAAACAGATGACTATGATTAGTAACAATATATTAAAAGACAGAAATGCTGAAATATTTTATTATGATTGTGCTACTTATTTCTTACATAAGAATTCATAACACTGAGCACTTGTGTTTATATCAATAGTAACTGAGTTACTATTGATATAAAACTGTCAATCATAACACATGAATAAAAGTAGCCCTTTCCATTAGCTAATTTTTGAATTGTGTAAAATAGGACTAAAATAATTTATTATTTTGAGATTTTATGAGAAGCCACATTTTAAATAAAATATTGATATACTATTCTCTTGATTTTTATGTTAGCAGATAGGTTTCTTTTCAATTGTCTTCAGGCTGTACACTGCATCCTTATATATAT